CGAAGTTATTTCGTCGCTCTTTCGATCATTCTGAAAATATACGCTACGCCCTACAACTGCTAATACGAGATCTTGGCGAGACCCTAGGTATATATTGTCATCCGAGGCAGCCGGCGATTTCCCTCCAACGGATAAGCCTTTTGGTGTGCAGCAGCATCTGTGTATTTGGGCTTTCTTCGTCGACTGTGCTTCACCCTGCCGTAACTGCGGTTCTGTTGATGGCAGCTATTCAACTGAAGTATGGCGCAAGAAGAAAAGTGACGACTTCAGAGTAAGAATAAAGGATAGATTGCAAACGAAAGAGAATGAAGAAAAATACGAGACGGTTGTCAACTGCGAACCCGGTTGCAGGTCCGCGTCCCTGGATATACACTCACGGAGTCAATCGCCAATAAGCAGCCAAGTGATGTCAATCTGCCTTCCATAACTGCAGGCTCTCGCCCCCCCCCCCCCCCCGACCGAATTCCATCGCGAGAGGGGTGAGCGATAGCCCTCAAAGACAAGATCGTAGCGCCGCCCATTTCTCGAAAACTTAAAATAAGCCACACCTACACGCAGTATCCCCGGCCAGGGCAGTGTGGCCGTCATGAGGGCGGGGCGCGGGGCTGCAAAGCGGCAACCCTCGCGGCCCTTCGGTCTCCTGGGGGCTCATTACCCTCGCTGTGTCACCCTCCGAATCCTCCAGACGCCCCTCCGCCCCTCTCCTTCCGTTCCGTTCTTTCCCAACTGAAAAGGACCACTTTCGTCCTCCTTCGCCCACTACTCGTGCTGCCCGCTTCCCCCTCCCTTCCCTGCGACAATGCCACTGCCTCCCCCCTCTCGCGGGAAGTCCCAATCCTCACGTCCTCTGCTCCTCGATTCACCTGCGCCGTCCCATTTCGCCTCAAGAACTCGAACGTCTTTTCCTATACTCGGCTTGTCGTTCGCTCACTGGGTTACGGACAGGCACAAAACTCTGGTTAGAACTGCACACAAAGATCTCTCCTGCGGAAATGTGAAATGTTTGAATGGACTGACAATTAGTGCAATAATGATCAGTCACGTGTTTCACATGCAGGTACAGCTCTAAAATTTACACAAATAAACAAAAACAAAACAAAAATATATAAATAAATATATTTACATATTTATACACACAGATATACATATATGTACGCACACGCACACGCACACGCACACGCACGCACGCACGCACGCGCACACACACACACACACACACACACACACACACACACACACACACACACACACACACACACACACACACACACACACACACACACACACACACACTCACACTCACACTCACACACGTTTTATGTGTGTGTGAGTGTGTGTGTGTGTACACACTCACACACACATAAAACGCCCCTCGCAAGTCCACAGTTGAAAGGAGCAAGTAAAAGCAAGATTACTTTTGGCTCAAGTATGTATATGCGTTATCCATACAGACAGACATTAGCATTATGAATGTGTGCGCGTGTGTCTGTGTTCGTGTGCGCGTGCGTGCGTGTCATACACCCCGTGCCTTCCTGTTCTCAAAGATGTCTTTTCTTGTCGCTGATGTTTAAGTTGGCGTCAGACGTGTGTCGCGGGGCGCCCGCCCGCCCGCACGAAGGCTGCCAAAGGCCGGACGCGCGCCCTGCAAGCCGAGGCCTGCGGGCTGTGCGGCCTGCGCCTTCCATGGCTTCCCGGGCGGCTGGGCTCCCACGAAGCGCCGGTGCTCCTCCGGCGCTTCGTGGCCCCGCGGGTCCAGTGCTGCTCGCGCCAGGGGCAGGAGCAGCCCGAAAAGAGCGTGATTTAAGAACTTGACACGAACGACGGGAATGGAATTAATTTTGTCTTAATTTGTAGCCGATATTGTGACTAAAAGTACCATTTCCGGCCGCCTTCGGTCAGGTCCTGGTAAAATTTGAGTCGACTGAGCCTGCAACTTTATTTTATAGTGCCACTAATAATTAATCAAACGTCCACTAAAGAGCACAAAGCGGACAATTAGATTTAGCCATTACGGACAAAGCGCAAATAACGTGGCTCCCCCAAACACGCCTACCGGTGACGTCACACGCCTCGCCTCGGCCTAACAGAATTAGGAGCCTGGCATAACTTTCCAAATGCACGCGTCCCTTGTTAATGCCAGCCCCGCACTCCCGAGTCCTTGGGCTCGATTATTCCTCACAACACAATTACTGATGTAAAAAAATGTCCATCATTTCTGAGTTAGGTGTCCCTATTGCAGTTTAATGTCGAGTCGCGTGCGAGGTAATGTACCTGGCCCCTCGCCCCCCCCCGCGCCCGCCCTCCTCGTGAGTGCCAGCGGACCTTCCAGCCGCATTCCCTGTGACCTCCCCCCCTGTCCCCCTCCCCTTCGGGCGAGCTCGTGTCCTCCGATCTCCTGCTCCTCCTCCTTCCGAGCCCTCGACCGCCTCTCCTGTTCGTCGCACCCTGCTTGCTCCCACCCCCCCTGCTCACCCCGTCCCCTAGTTTCCATCGCCCCGCT